TTATGCTATCATATAGTAAAGTTAATTCCAAATAATTATAGCCCGCGGCTTTGTGGTACTTTTGAAAGAATTTATTGTCAAAAGACAAAATAAAAAATACATTCAATGCAATTTGAATAAGAAATTAGTTCTATTTCAGATATTTTTAAAAATCTGATAATTTCTTTATTAGAAATTAAGTATTTTTTCTATCTACATGGAACAATAATGATATTGCATACGTTTGCACGCTAGTTGGACATATCTCGCCCAGAAGTTGCTCGATTTACTATTTAATATGAGGCATTAATAGTAACACAATTTCTATTTATGTTATAAAATAAATGATTATGAAAAAAAATGGCCTCAGTACTACAATCAAGGATAACCATTACAATCCAACTAAATATGTAGAAGAGATTTCATTTAGACATAAAAACAATATATCTTTCGTCCAAAAAAAAAAAAGAAATTCTCTTGATTATGATGAGTTAATTTAGCAAAAAGCATACTACATATATATTTATTTAGAACAAAATGAATAACAAAAAAGAGAAAGAACCAAATAAAAATCTTAGCATCGAAATCAATCATCACCTGAAACATCTATACATTCAAAGCAGTATTAGATCAACTAGATTGATAGGGAAAAAAACTTAGAGAGATAATTACATTTTGTTTGCTAGTAAAAATTATACTCCTTCTATCATTTAAAAATAATTCAAGACAGAAGAAGTACATCGAGAAAACATGACTTTGATGATGAAAAAGAGAGGATTTATTTGGATCTCCGCATATGTTGACCCGAGGAGTTGTAACTACCAAAGATGGCTTAATATCACTCACATTGATGACCTGTTTATCCCCGATATACATCGACATATTAACGCTCGGTATAAAAATATATACTACATCATTAATAACTCTTCGTACTACTACAAATGGATCAATATTTGATGCCATTGGAGAAGGGAAACTTCACAACGCGAGAAAGTAATGAAGGAAGCAAATTTTTTAAAGGGCGAAAAGAGAAAGAAATGTTTACGGCAGAAAATGAGTCAAGAGAAGTTGCAAATGGGGGAAAAAATGAAATGATAAAATTTGATCACTAGCAAATCTTTGAAAATGCTTAAAGAGAAAGAAATGATAATGTTTCAAAAGAACGAAAAAAAGAAGCGTATTATATTCGGAAGAAAAGCAAGGCAAAAAATAATGTCAGGTTATGAATGCAAAAGCAACCAATAGAACTTTGGATAGTTTAAAGGCAAGAACTTTGGATGAACAAAAAGAGCTAGAGGATCTATTTCAAGTAAAGGTTTTGAAGCCAAAGAGTAAACAGATACAGATGCTTAGATGGCAACCTTCGCTTCTAGGGGAGATAATTCTGGATACGGATGGGTCTGCACTAAGGCAACCTGGCAATGCTGGATAGGGATATGTAGTCAGAGGAGAACAAGGAGCTTTCATGGTTGCGATGCGTAGATTCATTTTTATTGCTACAAGTTTTGAAGCGGAGCTTGAAGGAATCCACAACAGACTCAAAGCTTGTGAAGAAAAGGGACTACAGTAAGTGGTAGTCCAAACAGATAATGCTTGCATTGTCTCCTTATTGCAGGGAGGAAAGGACTTCCCTTGGAAGCATTACATGCTTTGAAAAAAGTCCTGCAACAATTGCTTCTTACGAACTCAAAAATCATGCATATCTATCGTGAGGTAAATAGTGTGGTGGACGAGCTTGCCAAAAATGCGTCAATGGGAAGTACTTTGCACTATCCTTTTTATGAGGATCTCTCAACAACCTTGCGAGGTAAGATATATTTAGATAGGAATTGTTTCCCTTACTTAAGGGTTAGATAATTTCATAGTTTATAGTGAATTGAAACAGAGATGTCATGTGATTAATGTTTAAATCTTTGTAAGACATTCTCTTAGTTTAATTTTTATTTTTGAATTTATGAGAACTGTCAAGGGATAGTTAGGACTATCTTTGTAAGACAGTTCGTAGAATACTTTGCTTGAGAACCGTCATGGGGTTTTTAGAAAAACCATCTGTAAGACGGTCTCTTTTGATTTTGGTAAATCTTTAGCACTGCATCTTGTAATTTTTTCCTGATTATTAATAAAATCGGAGGGATGCCCGCCAAGTAACGCCCTGGTTTACTTTAAAAAAAAAGCAACCAATAGAACATTCAGATGGTGATAAAAATATGGCAAACACATGTAAATGCACAGAAATAATTATTAAAGAAATTTAACATTTGCATACTAATGTTCTTGACACGTGTTCAGAAAATAAGAATTTTTCAATATGTTTTAAAAACACAAAAGGAAAAGAAGATACATGGCATAGGGATCATCGACGTACTTGCTCCGATTCTTATTATAAGTAATTTTGATTTGTCATAAATTTAATTTAATATGTTATCCCAATTGAAAATAAAATCTTAAAAGCATTTTGCAATAATTAGGAGATCATAAGATATGTAAAATTATATTTCAAGGTTTTATTTTAATTTAAAAGAACATACTAAATGAAATTTAAGACAAATCAAAATGGCTCATAATAAGGACTAGAGGGAGTAGTTTTTAATGTCGAACAAATTGAGCTATTTTTGCCTATGTATGTATGTGGACAAAATATGATAATTTTAGATAAAAACTCATGCTAATTTTCTTGAAAAAATAAATGAGTAAAAAAAAATAAAAAATAAAAAAGGAAAATTCATCATCTCTTTTTGGGCGCGTGAGTTGCATGCGCTCGTGCTGAATGAGTGAAACCCATACACCCATGCCAGCTGTCTAAGTGGTCCAGTTTTTGGCTAAACCGTGACCAAATCTTATTCATTGATTTGTAAATTGCAAACCTAATCCAAATCAAACTCATTAAACAGTTTGGATTGATCAATTTTACAGATTGGGATTAAAGATGGGCTTCAGGCCTTGTATTGGTTTGGGCTAAATATGAGCCTTTTATATTTTGCGTGTAAAGGGGGAAAAAAGAATGTTAGTATTATCAATCAAGGGTCGAATCTGGGGCAAATCTTATTCATTGATTTGTAAATTGCAAACCTAATCCAAATCAAACTCATTAAACAGTTTGGATTGATCAATTTTACAGTTTGGGATTAAAGATGGGCTTCAGGCCTTGTATTGGTTTGGGCTAAATATGAGCCTTTTATATTTTGCGTGTAAAGGGGGAAAAAAGAATGTTAGTATTATCAATCAAGGGTCGAATCTGGGGCAACAAGGAGTAAAAATTTACTTCAATTACCAAGAGAGCTTGTTAAACTTTTGCTATGGGATACACATTTTGTACCTCATGTAATTAAGTAATATGTATGTTGAATGTTATAAATGGTCCGCTTCTATTTGGTAGTTAATTTTTTATTCTAAAACAACAAACAAAATTTATACCTCCGGTTTTTCTCCTTAGAATCAGCTGCGTTCTTGAAAATTTTTTTCCTTTTTTTCACTTGTTAGGCCAAACCGAAGAACACGTTGGGGGTATGAACTGATCTATGAACACTAGGGGTGTTACTTAAATGGGACAACCGAAAAAATCCACCTGATCTGAACCATTCAGATTAAACAGTTCGGATAATCGGGTTTAATTATGTTTTTGTAGTTCCACCCAACAAATTACAAAGCTAAAACTGTACGAGTGTGGGGGACAAAAGTTATTCAGGCACTACACGAAAACCCTAACAATCATTACTGTCTAATCGGCTAAATAGTCTAGTTGATATCAGTAGCCATCAGATGATTAAAATTAACTATAGCCTTGGATTAAAATTCGGTGTTCTAAAATTAAAGGATAAAACTCACTTGGTCCCTTATGTTTGGGGGGTCACAAACTCGACTCACCATAAAGTTTCAATCAACAAAATTGGTTACCATGTTTTCGTTTATTCACTAATTTTTATCAATTTAACGGAATTTATGGTCAACTAACGGTTTCTTCTTTTTCATGTTAAGTTTTCTAATTTTTTATTAATTCTTTAGTGAACTGAGACCCGCAATGTTTTTTCAAACAAAAAGTCAGTTCCCTAATATCTTTTTCAATAATTTTAGTCACTTTAATAGAATTTTCAGAAACTTAATGGCCCAATTCATTTTCTGATTAAATCATTATTATTTTTACTGATTTCTTAATGAATTGTGGGTTCCACATGTCTTTGATCAGATTTTTTTTTATAAAAAATACAAATTAAAAGAATAATGAAAATATTTCCGATCAACTTCCTAAAACCTAATATTCTGCTCCCTAACGTCTTACCATCACCTCCCTGCCGGCAATGTAGCCCAGAAAAAGAGCCCCATTATTGTTCATTTTCGTTGTAGGTGGTTTTTTTTGAAATTTATTTCTCTGAGTAATATAATTAAATTATCAGCCCTCTTTGTTTCACTTACCCCTTTCATCTTCGCTTTCCTTTGTTTTCTTAACTTTGAATTTGTCTCAAACATGTTGTTCTTGTCGCAATGGTCTATCTCCAATTATTCTCTGTTCATTCTTAATCCTTTTTCTTCCTAATAATATTTTACTTGAGTGATATTTAAAAATTTACAGTTAAAACCTCTTTAGCATCTACTATACAAATTGAAATAATGGAAATCACCAAAAGTTCTATACATTGTATTTGATTAGGTTAAGAATATTAGATCCGAAATGATACAACCTTCTTAGTTCATAACCTAAGGGACATATTTCCTCTATGTTGGGGTTGTTAGTGACCTATATTAATTGACTTTCCAAGAATAGTTATAATTCTAAAATTTGCAGCCTATTTTTCAAGTTCTGCTTTCTGAAAAACTGCAAATGTTTGTTAGATGTTTCATCACAACCAAGAGCAAAATAACTGTTAACATAATATAGACATGCAAGGTTAAATTATCCAAAAGCTGATAATTAAAAAATTCACAGTATCAAACACTTTAAACATCAATCCTCCCATTTCCCATCTCATAAACTAATGGGAAAGGAAAAAACTTTTTCCCACATACTATTTTAAGGCCTCTCAATTTCAACGTCTTCTGCCGGATGGTTCTCGCTGAGCATAGAAATAAACTACTGCAACCGGCGGTCCGAGGTTAACCTGATATGCAAATTCGCGAGTGTAGAAATGAGCACGAGATGATGGCGGTGCCAGAAAACCTAATGGTTCTTTTTGCTCGAAAAGAACCATTATGTAGCGATGAATTCCAACCTTCGGACGAGGCGGCGAATATGCCAAAATTTCTTTCCCTACAAAAGGAATGCAACCCATTTCCATCATTACCATTATGCAAATTTAAAGGACCAGCAATTGATGATCTTTTACCCTTCTAATGCATAAACGGATGATAATATATCACAACATGAATAAAGTAACCAAATAAAAGAAAAACATATTAGCTCGAATATTTTTTTCTTCAAACCTCAATAAAACTCTATTACCTCGACTTTGTCAACGAACGTCTATTGTAAACTTTTTACGGGTTTCCTTAAACGACATACATTTCTTTTAAGAAAATAAAGTAATTGAATATAATTTTATGACTGCAAAAATATAACAAACGTAACACACGTAACTAATGATTCTCCCTAGCTAGATGTCAATGCAAAGTTTATCAATCATAGGATAGGATAACATTCCAAAGTTTCTCTTAAGCTACTTTTACTTTTAGAACTCTTTTCTTGGTGCATAACAATAAAAACACAAAAATAAAAACATAGCCAATGTAATTTGTTTCGAAAATAATTTTTTCTAGAAACATTTCAAATTTGACAATTTCTTTGACTGAGAAAGTGTTAGAAATTTGCATATTTTGGCCATATATGGGGGAAAAATGATACTTCATGCTCATGCATGCTGGAGATATTTTGAAAGAAGGTTGTTCGTGTTATCGTTTGATACGAGGCGCTAATAATAACACAAGTTATATTTTTATTATCAACTAATGATCATCCAAAAAGAAAAGAAGAGGAAAAGAGTTACCTTCAGAAACAGTACCGCAGCCAGGGATATCCGTTACAATCCTGATATATATACACAAAAATGAAGTTCATTTAGAACTAATAAAAATAATATATCTTTCACCCCCGCCCCCAAAAACAATATAAATCCTTTTCATTATAACATTTTGATTTAGCAACATGAAGAATTTTTGTTGGAACAAAATAAGTAACGAAAAAGATAAAGAATCAAAATAAAAAAGCGCTTACCAATGTGCCCATTCTCTGAGGTTAGGCTCACTGGGACTCGGCGCATCAGGATCAGTCATCACCTATACATTCATCATAGGATTGGATAAAATAGATTGATACCTTGTGAACATTTTAGATATAGAAAAACATACATTAAACATAATTGACGTAGTTAATCTTATATCTCTTTCTGTCTATGAAAAAAACTTAAGATGGAAGAAGCACGAGGGAAATTAATAACCAACATGCAAGCATGACGATGAAAAATAAGAAGAACAGATAAGACTAAATTTTAAAAAAGTAATTGAACTGACCAGGGTATATGATAGATTTGGATCTCCGCTTATGTTGACCCGAGGAGTTATAACCGCCAAAGATGGCTTAATATCACTCGCATTTATAACTTGTTTATCCTCAAAATAAACCGCCATGTTAACGCTTGGTATAAACATATCTACTACATCATTGATAACTCTTTCCACTACAACAAATGCATCAACATTGGATGCCATTGGAGAAAGAGAAATTCACAATGTAATAAAGTAATAAAGGAAGCAAATTTTTGCAAACGCGAAAAGGGAAAGAAATATTAAGGCAGCAAATGTAGTCAAGAAGAAGAAGTTTGCATTTATATTCGATACGAGAAGGAGAAGACAAGAAAATTCATAGCAAGTTTTGAACTCTGGATATGCCCAAAACTGCATGCATATGGAAATGAAAAAAACGGATGAACATGTGTAAGACTTCACTGGATGAACATTCAATCACCATTCAACAAATTTTAACATTTGTACGATATTCCTGACACGCGTTCAAGAAATGAAAGATTTGCTATACGTTTCAAAAGAAAAGAAAAGAAAAAGATTCAGGTCATGTGGACAACCTGAGATGCTTTTTGCTCATACATGCAAGCAAACAAAATTTATATGACTGACAAAGTACATAAATTGGTTACGCAAGAAGTTAAAACTAGATTCCTGAAATCGATCTTCTTTTTTATTATAGGCTTTCGATTTTGTTGTAGCAGGATATTTTTATACACCAGAGTCATTTCCGGTGTTGAAATATTTTCTTCCAGATATCATATATCGATTGATCATTGTAGGTACTGAAATTGTCAGAAGGCATAAGTATATAGATTTTATTTTAGATTTATAATATTATAAATCTTAACTTAATAATAATGTTTGCTTCTTATTGACATGTAGTGGTAGATGAGAAACTTGAATTTAGATATTCATAATAGTAGATGGAGAGTTTATATAGTCTTTTTGAAATGAAGTATATATGTATATTATATATATATATATATAGGGAAAATCTAGAGTCCCGTTGGCCATTTTTACGGAATCGTCCCGTTTTGTCTTCAACCAATTAAAATTGAAGATATAAGATATAACCATGTGGTGAATAATATTCGATAATATCATAAACTAATAGAGAAAATGATCATTTTTGCCCAAAACATCAAGTTTCTGGCCAATTTGACACAAAGTATTTTTGAGAAACCAAATTCAACATCTAAATTTCAACTTTTTTCCAATTTAATCCGAATTGATGAGAATTCTGTTAGATTTAATATTTTCAATGACATTCCGTTACTTTATACAATTTTTTATTAGTAAAAAACTTTGTTGACATGCACGATATAATAAGTACTACCATATATACAATTTGGACAACTATCTATTTATGTACACATTAAGTTGATACACTTTAATATCAAGTGCATTATTTGATTAAATTACCGCAAAAAATATACAACGAATATATCGATATCACATTCATATACATGTATACATATATACATATATATTAATTGGACCAATAGTTATGTCAAAATGCATAAATACAAATTATTTATGAATAAAATTCTAAAATTATACATTTATTTGACCCACGTATTACCCACAATAGAAGTCGTGGGTGGCTAAGTTTACCCACACATTCTCCACGAAATACCCACGAACAAGTTACCCACAGAAAAGGTCAAGGGTAAACCGTGGGTAAATATACTTACTCACAAAAAAGGTCAGGGGTAAAACATGGATAAATATACTTACTCACGGCTCACCCACAACAGAAACTCGTGGGCAATTTAACTCTTACACATGGTTTACATTAGAATTTGTTTTCACAAGAATACACTGTGAGTAACACGTGGGTGATAACTATTTTCCACGAGTTTCCCACTGAAAGGATGTAGTGTGTAATTGCCTACACAATCTTTCATGGGCATTTTGTGGGAAACTTATTGGCGGAAAACTTTCACCAAAGGTTTAAATTTAGAAATTTCAGTCACCAAAGAAATTCGTGGGTAATACGTGGGCGATATAAGTTTCCCACGAGGTTCCCACAGACACTTTTTCGTGTGTAATTATCCACTACTTTTTTTCATGGGAAAAGTTGTGGGGAATATTATGGCGGGAAACTTTAACCCACACATTGCATGTGGAAATAGTACCTACAACAATAATCCGTGGGTGATCTGATGTTCCCTCGAGTTTCCCACGGATCAAAGGTCGTGTGTGATTTCCCACAAGGTGTGTTGTGGAAAATGCGTGTGAAATTTAATGGCGGAAAATTTTTACCCATGAAATACCCATCACATCTTCTTTCATTTGAAATCTTGTGGAAAATTCATGGAAAATTCGTGGAAAACACTTTTGGTCAAACTTTCTTGGGCAATGCGTGGGTATTTCATGACTAAGTATTACCCACGACCGCTAATTTTTTGAGGGTATTGGCATGTTTTTTGGTAGTGGTAGGCAGCAACCTAGTTGTTTCAATTTCCCCTCAAACAAATTTGCTATTTTTCATTAGTTGTTCAGTCGTTCAACCAAAAAATAAATAAATAAAAATTTCTTGTATATGTGTGTTAGACGGTACACAACATCAAAGGTTTCAATTAGCTGAGATGTCATTAGCATGCTAAAATCAAATGAAAAAAAATGATGTTTTACTATTTTGAATTAAAAAAAATTCTTAAAATACAACAAAATCATGTGCTGCATTTTGTACTCACACCTCGTTTACTACCAGAGAGATAAGATTCGTTATATTCACCGTTCATCTTTTGTGATTTTATATTTAATTTTTTAAAACTATAATGTATTAAATAAACTAACCAAGTAGAATAGAGAAAACATGATAGGGTTCTTTTTATCGAAAAACTATGTGCTTATTTTTAATTTTTTATCAGTAAAGTCAGGGTACATTACATTTTTTTAATAGCAAATTAATAAGCACACATATTGTATATGAAGAGATATCATTGAATTTTAACCAAGTCAACTCATATTAGAAAGTAAAACTTTCTCATGTCGTAAGAAAGAAACATAGAATAAAATTAAGTACTGAAAAAATTAACATCTCTCCTAAAGAAATTGTTTAATTAAAACTATACACTAAAATATACTTCTAAATATTGAACCGTGCACAAACATAATAAAACTCGTCGAACACAAATAAACTGACTAAACTTACTTCTAACATATCTTCTCTAGGCTCCAACGTATTAATGTATGTCCATCAATTGTTTGTGTGATGATCACATGATTTGGGTCTTACGCGCATTCTTCTAAAATCCCATGGATCACTAGCTAGGAGTATAGAATAACTCCATATTTCAACAAAAATGTTTTTTGGTTTTAATACCTCATATTTCCTATCCTTCTATATGTTAATGGTTTGAAGTACTTCCTAAATTCTTTTCACAGTCGTATTATAGCTTAACATTCCAACAAAAGAGATGATTCTATTAGCAAAAGAAAATCCCCAATTACATCTCCAAGATGCGCTTCATTAACGCTATGAAAAAAATCCTTTTGGTTCTACGATTACTTTTATTTGGTGTTAGTCTCACTGGCCATAATTTTTCTACCATGTCTAGTTTTGGCTAATGGATGTGCGGTTTTAAACTGATTTTAGTTATGGGTTTGTGTTGTTTGTAACGGTCGCACAGATCAATGATGAAGTACTAATTTTGTTAGAATATGATGAATGAAACCTTCTATACAAATTACCTTTTTGTTATATTGGATATTACATTACTTTTGTGTTCTGTAGATATTATTAGGCTTTTAAACAATAAGTTCCCCTAGAGTTTATCACTTATAATATTATAGGCTTTGAATGGATTCCTTTTGTTGTATTCACTCAGTTCGAGATTCTTCCAAACCTTAAGCAGAAAAGAAGAAAGAAAGAAAGAAAGAAATGGTTGAGAAAAGCTGCTGGGAATTAAAAAGCAAGACCTGACTATATGTGCGTGTATATATATATATATATATATATATATATATATATATATATATATATATATATATATAGATGTTTATAATAGTAGGGGATATGATCTCCAAAACAAAATGGCCAACTCAAATCTTCATATGTATCAATGGTTTTCTTCTTTCACATAAATCCAATTAACCAATTTTTATGCTCTATAGTGTACAAAATCACACCTAATAACAATATAAGCACCTTATTATAATATCTCTCTCTATCCAAAAGAATAAATAAGCTGAATAAATTGAAGAGGACTAATAAAGTGGGATGTATAGAGAGTACATAATATATTCCTGAATTCCACGGAAATACCAGTGGACCTTACAATTATCGTTGATCGGTCTATGAAATACCAGTGTTATTGGTTAGTCCTAAGCTAGTAGTAAATCTTGAAAATAATAAACCTTACAATTTCCCTTCAGTTTTAAACTAGTCATTAGATATATTAAAGGAAAAAAAGATAATCGACATATGTCGCTCAATCAGGCTATCAATAGCTTTGGTGACACATGTCATTATCTCATCGGATGGTCATTAATCAGTAAAAAAATATATATAAAAGTAATTTCTCAATTTTACTTTTTATTACTACCAACTCCATCACCTCTTGCGTACCACCATCATCACCATGTTCACTCTGTCAAACTTGAAATTCCAGCCGCCATTTATTCCCCCTCAAAAATAAAAAAGATTCCCGCCGCCGAAGATCAAAGAGTTCGATTGAACAAAATTTATGTTTCTGTTTATTGGCTAGGAATAAAGGCTGTTGAACTTGAAAGCCGGAAATCGATCGGCGTCAGTCATGGCTTAATTGATGCCGAAACGAAAATTAAAGTCACTGGGTTGAGAACAAAGTTGTCTTTGCTGCATATATCGATTACCAATAAGTGTCTCGATCGAAACAGCTCTGCTCATGGAGCCGTTGTCAATGAAAACCGCCGTGAGATGTCATCTGAATGAATCGTTCATTTGGTCGGCAATGGTAGCGGTGGGAGGTTTGTTTCGTTGCTGCCGGCGGCTGTTTCCAAGGTTGAAGACATTATGTCATACGATGATTTCAGCACCGGTAGCAGCAAAAAAGAAGAGCAACCCTAAAGGAAAGAATATAATTTGACATGTTACAAGGTGACTCCGACCTGAGATGCCAGTGGTTTACGCAATTCCGGCGAGATAACATCACTTGCGATGGCCAAAGAAACGACAAAACCTATTTATAAATTATTTT